ATTCCTTCTTACAAGCAATCTTGTTTTTATTGCATCCACGCCTGTTGCAACAGCAGCAGCTGATTGATCCTCAACATACTAAATAGTCAATTTCTCTGTGTCGCTAGAACTTCTGAGTGTTGCTCGGGAGCAACGACAAAACATCTTTTCCAGCCTGTCCACATAAATGTTTAATTTCAGCTATAACTCACAAGAGATAAATGCACCCTTCCCCCCATTACAAGGAGAGCTGATCACCATGACTTGTTTAAAGGAGTCTATTCTGTTCATAAACTTGCACCACCCTTGGTAGATTATACCAAGCTTACAAACCTCAACAATGTACTGCATTATTACAGTTAACTAGGAAAATAATACAGACCTAACCACTTGTGTAGGTTTCTGTTATAAAAAAAGAAGGTGTTCCTGGCAATATGGCGTAGCAGGATGGCCATACTGGATCTTCCTATAAAGGTAGAATACTGGATCATTTCTCTATTATTTAAGGTGATGAAATGAGAGTGGATCATATCTAGCCTCACTGGATGAAATCAGCTGTGTTCTTTTACAGAAGGGTGTATGCCAGCTCCAGAAAAGCAAAATGCAGAGCACAGAATTAAAAACAAATATAACTCATACTTTGGTAGGAGCTCTTAGCTTTCCTGCTCACTTCCGGGACTGAAAGTAGGCATTCTGGTTGCCTAGAGACAAAAATAAACAAAAGGAGTTTAGTAACAGAGTGCTGGGTGCTGTGGAATCTATCTGCTGCCTTTCATGATAAATGGAAACACCAATCATACAGAGCTTTTCTTTTCTGAATATCACCCAGAACGAAGTATGGTAGCTCCTCTGCCAAGTGTTCCAACAGGTATTGGTCATTTTTCTCTTAACATTTTAGCAGCTTCCTGGCAAGCCAGAGGAACAGATACTAGAATGGACATTCATCTTGGACTCAGCTGAAATATTAAGATTTTTTTTCAGCTTTGATTTAGGTTTTTCTGGGACTAGAATATTAATGTGACTGATTCATAGCTTGTCACAAAGCAAAAAAACAACAACATTAAAATCAAAATAAAATATCAGTTCATATTTCTAATGGAATTGCTGATATGAGATGCCCTCAGAGGCCTTGAAATACTACAATGATCTAAAGAGGCTATAATTGAATTATTTGACTATGTTTGAACTGCGTTTCCATTTTGTTTTATTGTGTTAAATTACATTAACTGTATTTCTCAAAATTATCTTTGTATAAATTTTATGCCAGTTTTATAGTCCTAAGAAATTAGAATTTCAAGAATTCAGTGGATTTGGGTATACCTGTCATAGAAGACTGTTGATAAAATATTGAATACAGGCTTAGCCATAAGTATTCTTTGGTTAACTTGTTGAAAAAACATCTTTGTAAATTTTTTGGTAATTGTTTGCATCAATGGTATTACAAACATAGATAATAAATTAGTATTATCATCAATTTAAATCAATCCAGTGCAGAATCAAGGTCTCTTTACTGAAGGTTATGGACTATAATCTGCCATGCTGGTTCAGTGCAGATTGGTAGAGAGATATTTTTCAATTTTCCAGTCCAGGGCTGAGAGAGGTTGACTGCCCCAAAGGTAACTTATAATGCCGGTTCACCACTAAATTGAAAGAGTTTGTTTCTGCAGTAATCTTTCAAGAACATAAATTCCATGGAAACAAGCAAACAGCTAAAGCTTAGTTTCCCCTCCTTCAACCCAGATAAACAATTTCCATTGTTGAAAATGCAAATAAAGATGCTAAAAAAGCCTCATTAAGGGATAAACATCAGTAATAGATGTAAGAGAGGCAGTTTGGTGTAGTGGTGAAGGTGCTGGCCTAGAAAGCAGGAGACTGAGTTCTAGGCCTCCCTTAGGCATGAAAGCTGGCTTGGCAACTTTGAGCCCGTCGCTCTCTCTCAGTCAACCCGCCTACAGGGTTGTTGTTATAGGGAAAATAGGAGGCAGGAATATTAGGTATGTTTACCCCCTTGAGTTGACCAAAATATAATTTAAAAAGACAGGATAAAAATATAATAATAATAGCCAGTTTGGTGTAGTGGTTAAGGTGTTGGCCTAGAAACCTGGAGACTGAATTCTAGGCCTCTCTTAGGCATGAAAGCTGCTTGGGTGATCTTGGGCCAGTCAGTCTCATTCAAGTCCCACCACTTCTGAAAATCTTGCCAAGAAAACTGCAGACATTAGTCCAGGCAGTCACCAGGAGTCAATACTGATTCAAAGGCACAAAAACAAACAAACATTGCATTTTAGATCATGCTGGACTTCAATTCCCTGCATTCCTTATCACTGAACAAGTAAGTTATACCTTCTGGGAGTTACAGTATGGTATCATCTGGAGGATCACAATTAAATACCAGTATAATAATATGTTTTACTAATACAGGTTCCCAAGTTTCATCACAAGTCATGAAAATGGAATGTTGACTTCATGACATCACCGAGGAAACGATGCCAGTTTTAAGCATCTTCCAGAACTGGATAACAGCCAAGTTTGCAGGAGTTGTTGGACTAATAGAATTAGCTCTCTTTAGTCTGAGGTAAGATACAGTTACCTCATGCTGTTTACTGCATTTTAGAATTCTACTTATGATTTTTTTCCCCATGAGATAAATTAATTTGATGTTTCTGTTATTAGTATTTCTCTATATGACATCACAGCAAATAGTGAGTCACTACTAATCATAATCATGTATGTGGTTTTATTATTTTTAATATTGTTAGCCACTCAGAGTCATGTATTTGACATGGGTGGCCATGTAATCTAATAAATACAAATAAATAATGTAATATAAAAGACAAAAGAGCAGCTGAGAAAAATACTGGTTATTTGGATAGCTTCTGGTACATTGGTCATACTATATTATTGCTAATGGAATTATTAACAACACAGTAAATGGTATGAACAACTACAAGTTATACATTAATGGTGAAAAACTAGAGCAGGTAGGTAAATGTCACTAACTTGGCAGAAAGCTGATTAAATATGGGAAAATAGATGAACAATTTCTAAGATATGAAAATGTTGGTAAAAAAGGTAGTGTGTAGTATGTGGTCTGAGGTGATAAATGAATATTTGCTGGGAAAAAGGTAAAATAAGAGTTGGCTACATCAAGGGATGCATAAATGTTGATACGACTGGGCATCTGTGAAGTGCGTCTGTGTTACAAAAAAAGAGAGAGGATCAAGTATCTGCTGAGTGAATGTGGATTGAATGCAAAAGTGAATGACCAGTATGAAAAGTATATGGAGGTGATTAGTCATACAGAAAGAATGAACAAGGATCAAATCACAAAACAGACATGTAAAGGAAGAGTGAATGGGTCAAAAATAAGGGGAAGACTGAGGAAGTTGGAGGTCAATGGAACTGAAAGAGATGGGAAATTAAAATAACAAAAAGCAAGATATGAAGCAGTGTACTGTAGAGTATAGAAATGGTAGAAGCAAGGACAGATAATAAGGATAGAAAGGTCTGGAGAAGTATAGTGAATTATGTTGGTGTAAACTAGTTTTACCTATGTTTCTTCTTCTTATCTTGTGCTTTCAATTTCTTTATCTTATTATATAGCCTATGGTGCCTGTGAGCAATAGTAATAGGCCAAATCTATAGGCCAACTCTGAGGACAGAATATTTGGAAGATGCCTTACAGCAATAAATCAAATCAAAACATAACAAAAATTTCTACTTTGCTGAGTAGTCTGACTGATTGAAGAAGTTCAGAGGCAGAAGTCTTGCTCATCACATTCTACCTGTTTCTGTAGCGATAGTACAAATTAGTAACTTCAAACTTCTGCCTACAGAGCACATCCAATATCAATGAGCAACTGTCAGGGCCAGCCCTATCATTAGACAGTGCCTCAAGCCACAGACGTGACAGAAGCAGCTCTCCACCACAAAATTTCCACCTAAGCCCACTGGTCATTCTTTTATCTTAGAGGAGAGAAATGTGTGTACCAGATGGGATGCCTTGTACCTTGATGAAAGTTGCCATCCAACAGCTAATTCTGCTCACTTAAATTTGCTCCCACTGCATTAGGAACACCAAAAGAAAAATTCCTGAAGATATTTACCAGATGTTTTCAGCCAGGGTATTCAACAGCCAGATAAAACATAGGTCTAGTTTTTATAGATGTTTGTCATGCTGAAGTTCCATCATATAGGAATTTTGTTTTATCAGAGATTGTTTTCTTGCATGTTCCCTAAAATGGCTAAACTAAATCTAAAGAAAAAGTTATTTGATTATCCTAGAAGTTCAGTTTCACCATCTGGGTGGAATAAAATACATTCTTATATACTCTGCCAATTAAAAACACAGTGCTCTGACAAAAAACTAGGAAATCAGGTGGCTGGTCTAGGAATCTTGTTTCAATTTGATAACTTGATATCAAATTGATAACTTTCTGTGCTCAGATCAGGTCCCTTTTGCATTGCTTGGAGCAAATTCATGATTAAGAGCACACTTAGAAGGAATGAAAGTTTGCTCCACATGAGAGATCTTCACGTATTGGTCTTGTAGAACTGCCTTTTCCTGGACTGTACTCTGCATTGTAAGTCATGTCATATGAATGTCATCATGCAATAACATATGAAAAGAATTATTTCCCACCATGGAAAAGCAGTATTAAGAAGTTGTGATGTCAGATGAAAAGAGCAAATTTTAGTTTCCTTTCCTTTCAAATTAGTGGAATTTTAACATTAATGTGAACAAAGTAATTATAAACATGTTACTGTACATTAATATGAATAGTCTGCGTATGTTGGCTCAGACCTGATTAGATGAATTCAAGTTATCCCCTTATCTGCTAACAGTGATTGTGTTCTATATAAACAGAATTAAAGGTGATTAATTTTCATTATCTGACTATTTTGAATTTTCTGCAAGCCATTTAATAATGTGACATTTTATTTCATTAATGGGCTGCAAATGGTTAGATTAATGAATGTGAAAAAAATGTTTCCTTTTACAGATAATACTTGAAATAAAAATGTCAGCAGAGAACACTACAGAGTTGGTTAAATACCTTGAGAAGTAAGTGAACCATGTTCTAGTATTTCAGTGATCCCAAGATATAACTATTCTAAAACAAAAGTAAAGCAGAAGAAAATTGGAAGTATCTACTTTTTGTTAACTGTGAATTATGGTTAGCTAATAAATTAATAAATTAAAAGAAGCAATTCTAACTTGCATTAATAAACCTTAATTTAAACTAATCACAATTGGGTCTCACGAATTGATTAATTTGGCCTTGCAAGTTGATTAGTTTAAACTAGAATGCATATGTTTCCTATCTTCTCATAACCATGACTTGTGAGAAGGGTTATATATGGCCCAAGCCTCAAAGAAGCTTATTCCTAAAGCATCAAATTATGTCCTATGAGTAACCAAATGGAGATCCCAGAATCATATACAACCCTGTAACCCTGTTTGTTTGTTTGTTTGTTTGTTTGTTTGTTTGGATCTCTAAAGAGCTAGTTTGGGCCACCAAAAATCAAGAGCATAATTTCTGCAATTCTGAGGCAGGAAACATATAAAACTCTAGTTTTGATCTTAAAAACTTTATAAAACAAAGAATTATTTAAGAATTATGTTTGAACTACACTAATCCCTTTATAACTTTCTTATGACAGTTAAGAGCTTCAGTATATTTCCTTGAGAATGCTGACCAAAAGTATAGGCTATTTAAATAACTGCTCATAGATAATATTTCCATTTTTTGCTGCTCACATTCTCACGAATACTCCAGGACAACTGTTTGGTAACCAAGGAAATTCCTTTGGCCATAGCAGGGTATCTGTAGGGAATGGTGAAAAAAGTCAAGATGGCAACTGTCAGTTTTTATGTGTGTTGCACCATTGTGACTGCCATGTTGATGTTTTTGACCACAGCCTGCATACATCCCAGTAATAGCATCGGTTCTTAAATTCTATCCAGACTACTTGCCCATTATTTATTTTCCCAATAATATAATGCTATTTATATTGCAATAGGTATTTTCATGAGCTTGCTCCTATATTAAGTAATATATGAAAACTTCTTTTCAATTTTATTTTAATTCTTTTTTGGACAAAGATCTATCTATTAGAGCAGCTCAAATTAATAAAAAATAGAATTCCTTGAAATCTTTATTTTGACACTGTAATATATCCTAGCAGAAATAAGTGGTTTTCATCTTAAATACATGTAATTAAAATGTGGATTTAGGAACACTAAGAAATCCTTTCCACAAATTTTAGCCGTGAAAACTTCAAGGCTTGATTAATCGCATCTATTTCAGATACATATAGTGAATATATGAGGGGAAAAAAGAATACCAAGCTAAGTAAAATACGTACTCCAAATGAATAAATAAGTATTTTCTGTAAAGATATTCTCGAAATTGAAGAACACCATAGAAATTATCTAAACAAAGAATTTATTTTCAGAAAATATTTTGCAGATATAAAAACTGGAATTCCTCTCAGAATATAAATGAATCTGGGAATAATATTCATTCTGAGAGCATTCACCTTTCCCCAAAGGGTGAGGTTTAATGACTCCCATCTATGAATATCTGAAGAAACCTCTCTCTATATTTTATTTATATTATATGTTGCTAACTGAGTTATATCCTTTGGTATACACATACTTAAATATTTAATAGATTCGGTACAAATACAGAACTGATATTCCTTAAATGAATAGGTAACCAAGTTTTCACCTATTGGCATCAATTCTGATTTGGACCAGTTAATAGAGTATCCTGCTACTTTACTAAAGGTATCTATCATTTGCATCAACACTGGAATAGTAGTGTGAGGTTTAGAAATAAACAAAGGAATGTCATCTGCAAATAAAACCAATTTATGTTCAACTGAGTTGTACACTACCCAATAGATCCCCCTGTGTTGTCTAATAGCACAAGCCAAGGGTTCCATGCAAATGTTAAAAAGCAAGGGTGAAAGTGGACATCCTTGTCTAGCTCCTCTAAATAGTGGAAAAGTAGGAAAAAAACATGCCATTAACCTTTACTTTAGATGTGGGCAACTCATATAATATCCTAATCCAATTTATACATTCCAAGGGAAATCCAAATTTATTACAGCAAGCATATACTGCTTGTGTATTTTGTCAAAGGCTTTTTCAGCATCTAATGATAAAATTACAAATTGATCTTTGTTTTTATTCAAGTCTATTAAATCTACAACTAACCTTGCTTGTGTATTTTGTCAAAGGCTTTTTCAGCATCTAATGATAAAATTACAAATTGATCTTTGTTTTTATTCAAGTCTATTAAATCTACAACTAACCTAACGTTGTCTGCTGCTTGCCTAGTTTTTATAAACCCTGCTTGATCATTCTTAATAATGAACGATATCACTTGCTGTAATCTATTTGCTAACACTGCCGTTAAAATCTTTGTGTTGACATTAATCAATGAGATTGGACAATAATTAGCACACTGAGTATCATCTTTATCTACTTTTGGTATAACTGTAATATAAGCTTACTTAAATGCCAGTGATAAAATTCTCTTATCAAATATCTTTTCGTATATTTGACAAAGTTTTGGCACCAAAAGATCTGTAAATGTTTTGTACCACTCAATAGAAAATCCATCTAATCCTGGTGTTTTACCATTTGCCATTTTAAAAATTATTTGTTTAATCTCTAGCTCAGATAGTGGAGCAAATAAGAGGTATTTATGTGTAACATCTAATTGTGGTAGATTAATTTTATTTTTAAAAAGCCTCTATATCTTCATCCGATACATCCTCTGGTTTACTATAGAATTCTGAATAACATTTTAAAAATTGACAATTAATATCCATTGAAGTTTTATATATTTCATCTCTTTCATCTCCAATGATTGGAATTATTGCCCTATCTTTTTTTTTTTCCTTTTGCTTTAAACGATTAGCCAAGATCTTACCAGGTCTTTCACCTTTCTCCCAGTATCTCTATCGTTGTGATGGATTGGGATGGGAAGGTGCAAGGACAGTAGCATCTCCTCAGCCCACAGCTTGAACATGGGAAAGTGAAGAGGATGAGACTGGCACCACT